TCATCAACAACACTCACACCAGACCTTGGTGTCATCATAACCAAAGCATTGATATTGATCGTGCTGAGCTACCCCGGAACGGAGTGTCCACAGAGGTCAGCCGAAACCTATGATAGTATATACAACGAACGCCACCTGCTGTCACTGTGCAACTTGATAGTCACTGATACCAAGACAATAGCTGTCGCACAGTTTGATAGTCACCGAGTATCGCGACAGACCGACCTGGGTTTCAGGCGCGAGACCCCTGACACTTGGCACCCCTGTGCCTCTTGAGCTGTGTCGACTCCTTTGACACTGCTCCTCCTCCTTGCTATGCTGCTGCTTGTTTGGCACCCCTGTGCCTCCTGAGTGGTGTCGACTCCTTCGACACTGCTCCTCCTCCTCATGACCTGGTGTCAACTCCTTCAACACTGCTCCTCCTCCTCATGACCTGGTGTCGACTCCTTCGACACTGCTCCTCCTCCTCAGGACCTGGTGTCGACTCCTTTGACACTGCTCCTCCTCCTCAGGACCTGCTTGCCGGTGTCCTATACACTGCTCCTTCTCCTTTGACTGGTGACAGTTCCTTTGACTCTTGTCTCTCGAGCCCCTGAGTGGTAACCATCTGCATGCTCCTTGAGCTTGGTCCTCTTCATGGCTGTGCCTGCTCCTTGAGCTTGGTCCTCCTCGTGGCTGTGCCTGGCCCTCCTCACATATGGCTCGGTCCTCCTTTGCATGTGAGTCCATAGGAGTCCATGGTCTCCATGGAGACTGCACTACGACCATGCTCTCTACTGGTATCGACTAGATCTTCGATACCTGTGCTCCTTCCATATGAACCAGTGACCCTCCTGCTTCTTGAGCATCCAGGCCCATGACAGGGGCCACCCAAGTATCAATGGAATCTGGGGGGCCACCAGGCACGGTCACTGACTCATGTGGTTGTTGCTCCGAATACAACCTGTTGTGGTGGGCAACAAAGTCCTGAAGGGTATGCAAAACAGAACTCACCCAGTTCAAGTCGGGCAAATTATCACGAACCGGCCCTACGGTTGGCGATGACGACGAGGGCGAGATCGAGAGGAGAGGCAGAGGAGGCTACCAGACTTCGGAAGGAGTAGATGAGAGAGTTGATTGGGAGAGTGACTTATGATCTCTTTTCCTTAAGGGAAAAGAGAAGAGAAGAAGGAAGGAGCAAACTATGAGATCGAAGGTACAAGACTCAATGCGACGAGTCTAAGACTCTTTTGCAGTGAAAATGACATATCGATGTTAGATCTATTCTAAATATGAGAAGGGTCATGACTGAGTCGTGACAGTATCCCCCCCCGAAAGAAACGACGACAGGGGAGGAGTTTAGTAATGAGTAGGAGATGGGCGGGTTGGGTTGGCTGTATGGAATTCAGCAATCAGGTCGCCAGCATGGGTGAGATTGGAGGCGGGTTCCCAGGAGTTGTGGTCAGGCCCATATCCGACCCAGCGGACAAGGTAGAAGAGTGGGTCACGGTAGCGATGATCGACCTTGCTATCGAGGATTTGTTCAACTTCATATTCAACATCGCTTTCGATTTCGACCGGGGGGGGCGGTGGCTGGACCCGATTTGGGATTGTGTTGGCGACATAGGGTTCCAAGCGGTCAACATGGAACACGTTATGGATCTTCATCGATGGAGGAAGCTGGAGGCGATAGGCATGGGAGGAAATGACTTTGCTGATGGAGAAGGGTCCGAGTCGGCGGTAGTCCAGCTTCTTGGTGGGGCGAAGGGAGCGGATATTATCGGCAGACAGCCAAACTCTGTCGCCAGGCTGGAACTGAGGGGAGGGAAGGCGGTGTTTATCGAACTGTGCAGCCGATCGGCTGTTGGCTTTATCCAGCTCCCCCCGAACATACTCATGGAGCTGCTTTAGCTGATCTGTGTACGAGCGGGCAGCAGGGAAAAGAGGCAAAGAGGCTGGATCGGTGTTATCAAAGCTGAAGCGAGGATGGTACCCGTAGTTGGCGAAGAACGGGGTGAGTTGAGTTGACGCATGCTCCGCATTGTTGTAGGAAAATTCGGCCAAAGGTAGGAGGTCGCTCCAATTGGTCTGTAGGTGGTTTGAATACCCGCGAAGGTACTGCTCAAGGACCTGATTAACACGCTCGGTCTGCCCATCCGACTGGGGGTGATAAGCAGAGGAGAAGTGGGTTTCGATGCCAAGGAGAGCAGAGAGGGAGCGCCAAAAGTGGGATGTGAACTCGGAACCTCGGTCCAACACGATGGAGGTGGGGAGACCGTGCTTCGAGTATACATGGCGCAGGAAGAGTTTGGCCAGTTCGGGAGCATCCAATGTGTTGGTAGTCGGAACAAAGGTTGCCATCTTTGTGAGGCGGTCAACCACAACGAGGATGGCAGTGAAGCCAGATGATGGGGGCAGTTGCTCGATGAGATCCATGGATATGGAAGACCATGGATGAGGGGGAACTGGGAGGGATTTGAGGTGACCGTAAGGCCTGTGCCGGGCAGCCTTGATGCGCCGACATGTCTCGCAGGAATCAACAAAGGTGTGGACAAATTTGGACATGCCCGGCCAGAAGAAGGACCGGCGAACAAGAGCAAGCGTCTTTCTGCGACCCGGATGTCCAACCGAAGGCGAGTTGTGTCGGTCTTGAACAATTAGGAGTCGGAGGTCACCAGCATCAGGTACGCAGACTGAGTTCCGGTAGGTGAGAAGGTTCCTGGAATTGATTGCGAAACCAAGTGGCAGTGATCCAAGGTGGGCTTGCTCCAGGAGCGCTGAGGTCCAGGAGTCGCCGGAAAGGGCATCACGGATTTTGTCAGTAATGTCCGACTTTACTGTGAGGATGCCAGTAGCAGCAAGTCGGAGTTGATGAGGTTTGAGGAGGGCTTGAAAGTTGTTTGGGTTGTGCTCCTGCATCAGTGATGGGCCCTTGTCCATGGGTCGCATGTCGGAACGACGAGTGAGGGCATCTGGCAGACCAGCCTGTGCACCAGGGCGGTATTGGATGACAAAGTCAAAATCGGAAAGGAGTTCTGACCAACGAGCTTGTCTACGGTTGAGTTGCTTGGTAGTAGTGAAGTACTCAAGACTGCGATGATCGGTGAGGACATGCACCGGAAACTTGGCACCCTCAAGGTACTGGCGCCAGTGTTTGAAGGCCGCGACAATGGCAAACATCTCTTTATCAAAGATGGGGTAATTGAGTTGTGCCGGATCAAGCTTCTTTGAAAAGAATGCAATGGGGTGCCTAGTGCCTTGATCGAATGACTGTGAAAGGACTGCAGCAACCGCAAAGTCTGATGCATCAGTTTCAACAATGATGGGCCGTGTGGGGTCAAAGTGACGCAAGATGGTGTCAGTGCCGAAGGCCGAGCGAAGCTGTTCAAAGGCGTGTTGGGCGTCATTGTGCCAGGCGAAAGGAGCACTCTGGGCCTCCTTACGCAACAACTGTGTGAGAGGGTATGCAGTTCGAGAGTACTGGGGGATGAACTTCCTGTAGAAGTTACAGAAACCTAAGAACACCTGTACATCATGCACTGACTTGGGTACAGGCCAGTTGGTGATGACCTCTGTCTTATTTGGATCCATGGAGACACCTTGATCCGAGACCACAAACCCTAGGAACTCGGTCTGCGAAGTGGAGAACTGGCACTTCTCTGCTTTCGCATACAGGCCCGCTTGGCGGAGGCGTGCCAGGACAGCAGAGACATGTCTTTGATGCTGTTCAAGGGTAGGGGAGTATATCAACAGGTCATCGAGGTAGATGATGAGGGACCTGTCTAACATATCCTTGAATGTGTCATTCATCAGGTGTTGGAAGGAGGCAGGAGCATTGGTGAGGCCGAAGGGCATGACGTTGTACTGAAAGAGGCCATATCGAGTACGGAAGGCTGTCTTCCATTCGTCCCCCTTGGCAATGCGAAGGAGGTTGTACGCGCCACGCAGATCTATACGGGTGAAGAACCGAGCTTTGCGGAGTCGGTCAAGTAATTCGTCGATGAGGGGTAGTGGGTAACGGTTACGAATGGTGATCCGGTTGAGACCTCGATAGTCTACACAGAGGCGGAGGGAACCATCCTTCTTTTTAACAAAGAGGATGGGGGAAGCTGCTGGCGAGTCGGATGGAGATATGAATCCTTTGGCAAGATTCTCTTCCAGGTACCCCCGGAGAGTCTTAAGCTCATGTTCTGAGAGACTATAGATGGGTCCGAAGGGTGGAGATTTGCCTTCCTCCAGTGGAATCTGATGATCGTATGTGCGATGAGGCGGAAGTTTGTCAGCTTTGACTCTGCTGAACACATCGAGGTACTGGTGGTATTCCGGGGGGATGATATCAGAAAGACCAGCATCGTAAGCGAGAGCCATGGTGGTATCCGAGGATGTTGTGGTGGTGGCGAGTAAGTGCTGTGATTGGATGGGGGAGGGGTAGAGGGTACCCGAGGTGATACAGTCCGACTGGAGGGACTTGTTAAAGGCAATAGCATCGATAACATCGATATCAAGTGATGCAGATGGCAGAGCGGGTGACGGCTGAGATGGAGCCATTGGCGAAGGGGTTAGAGGAGGGCTTCGCATGGTGATGTCGCCGGATTGCCAATCTATATTAGGATTGGCTCCTTTTAACCATGGTAGCCCCAGGATGATGGGACAGGGACCAAGATCAGTGACTTGGAAGGTGATGTCGGATGGGAAGAGCTCTGCAACGAGGCATGACAGCTGTACTTCCTTGCTGATGATGACTTGGGTTTTGTCGTCTGCAAGCAAGAGGGTCTCGGTGAGCGGCTTCGAGGTCAGAGGCAGGGAGTGGAGAGTGGCGAAGCGAGAGTCTATGAAGTTGGTGGTGGCGCCGGAGTCGATCATGACCTTGTGCACCGGAAAAGAGGGACGTGACAGGAAGCAAAGGGATGTAGATAGATACTGATTACCAGAGGGTTGTGAATCTACAGGAGCGAGTGCTGTCAGTCGGTGCTTAGCGGTTCGGGCTTGTGCTGCTAAGGCGGCTGTTTTTGACAAGCCCGCTATTTTTTTGATTTGATGATAGGACAGTCTGTGACGGTGTGCTCTGAAGAAGCACAGTAGATGCACAAGTTGTTTGCTTGGCGCCGCTTGTATTCGTCCGGGTCCAGCTTTCCAGCTGTGGTAAGGGGGACGCGAAGGGTGGAAGGAGAGGAGGGGTAAACGGCTGTTGGAGCAATGGGAGGGTTGGAGACAGGCATGGGTGTAGGGTTTGCCAACCGGGTGATCGTCCTCCTCTTCTCGGAGATCCGCTCGGCAATACGGTTATCGATCTCAAGGGATCTCTGGATGAGGGTTTCCAGATCGGTTGGTTTGCCCGAGCGACTAAGGTCATCCTTGACGTTCTCCTTGAGTCCTCGATAAAAGAACCAAGCCATGGCGTCTTCACCCCAATTGAGGGTCATTTGCAACTGGCGGAATTGGGTGAGGTAGTTGGCTACAGAGGTGGTCTGGGATAGAGCCTCGATCTCCCGCTTGGCAGTGGCAATATGATCTGGGTCCCCAAAGACCATGCGTAGTTGGTTGATGAATAAAGGGTAGTCCGTGAGCCAGGCGGGAGGGTTGACAGCGCTAAGGTGGGGGTAGAACCACTGGTGCGCAACTCCACGCAGGAGTGTGGATAACCAGAGGATCTGGTCGGAGTCGTTGATGAAGCGCCCTGGGTTGAGTCGCAGAAACACCTCAACCTGAGCTAGAAACGGCTCGAGGTGCCCTCGCTCACCCATGAAAACCTCTGGTTCCTTGGTACGAAAACCTTGCTGGACAGAAGCATTTTCGCTGGGTGAGGGAGCTGGAGCACTGCGAGCTTCGAGGGCTGCGAGTAATGAACGAACCTGGTCCTCCAGGGATTCGATGCGTTCGGAATGGTTAGGAGGGGGCATAGTGACCGATGTTATGGAGGCGAAGAAGATGGTGATGGTGGGGCCTTGTGAGGAGGAAGGGACGTCTGATGACGATTCAGGAGAGAGATGTGTCTTGATCGAGAAGGTAGTGATGTCGATGATAGTGATGGCGACGATGATGCTGATGATGTTAGTGTCGACGGCTCCTAACGGGGAGAATGGCGGAAATGACGATGATGACGATGATGATGTTAGTGTCGAAGGCTCCTAACGAGGAGAATGGCGGTACTGATGATGATGACGATGATAGGGTCGATGATGGTAAAGAAGGATGATGGTGACGAAGGCTGGTAGAGAAGGAAAAGAGATACTATCACGAACCGGCCCTACGGTTGGCGATGACGACGAGGGCGAGATCGAGAGGAGAGGCAGAGGAGGCTACCAGACTTCGGAAGGAGTAGATGAGAGAGTTGATTGGGAGAGTGACTTATGATCTCTTTTCCTTAAGGGAAAAGAGAAGAGAAGAAGGAAGGAGCAAACTATGAGATCGAAGGTACAAGACTCAATGCGACGAGTCTAAGACTCTTTTGCAGTGAAAATGACATATCGATGTTAGATCTATTCTAAATATGAGAAGGGTCATGACTGAGTCGTGACACAAATGCCATATGACCTGCATGGCTGTGGCCCAACCCATGGACATAATGGGGTCCAAAACCCATTCCTCCGACTGCACAAACCCAGGGCCATACCCATTTGCGACTGTCAAATGGGCTCTTTCAGCTTGGTGCAAACCACAAGGCTGCATGCTTGGAGTACCATTGCCTAGGTACTCCATGCTGGGATGAGCAGGGATACTGTGCTCACAATTACCCAGACCAGCCAGGTAACAATGTGTGCAAGTGTGGGGCACCCTGTTCCTCTCACCAAATGGGTTGGTGAAAGTGGAGGCAAAACAACTGGTAAAAAGAGAAAGGGGGTTAGGGACAAATAGGAAAGGTAGTCATGTATGGCAAGGGACACTTATGGAATCTGCAGCTGGAAGCAGTGGCAACATTGCCAGCTTGGCCAAGGCATACAGCCTTCAGTCAAATGCAACATGACCAGGCAATGTAACTGGTGCTCCAGCAAAGACCCGGTGGGGACATCCCAGTTGAGGGGGAAGTGGCAATCTGCAACTCTGACCAAAAGGTCAGCAACCATGAACAGTTCAGCCCATTCCACGATCTTGCCATTTGTCGGGAGATGGCAGTCAGGAGGAGGGGGGGGTGGAGTCTGGTGACCACGCCAGTGAGGAGGAGGAGTAAGCGGTTACACATTCAACCAATACTCTGGGGTGACGGTGCGAGGAGGAGCCAGGATTGCATCGACTATTTCGTTGGCAGTTGGAGGAGGGGTGGGGGAGCGAGCCAGCTCAGCTTCCCACATGGCTTGACACTCAGGAGTTGTCAGCTCCCAAGCAGGACAACTCATACCAACCTCATTCAGGTTGTGAGGAGGAGGAGAGGCTGGAGAGTAGTCTTCTCCTGAGGGACCTGGCACAACACGAGCAGGGGGAGGAGAGCCAGGAGGACTCTGGATGACTGTGTTGTCGTCCATTCCCAGAAACAGTGGCACCAATGGAGAGGAAGGTACCACCAGGGACATGAGAGGATCGGCCAGCCAGGCCGGGGGTGAGGAGGCGGTGGGCTCAGCAGCATCAGCTACAACTTCACAAGGACGAAGGCAGACAACAATCTGCCGATGTCCAGAAGGAGCCACAGTCCTTTCAGAAGAGGTTTCCTCTGCAGCAGTGCACGAGCGGGTATGGTAATGAGGAGACACCATGTTGCACAATAAGTTGGGTGGCAACAACATGGTTTGGTAGTGGTAAGAACAGACATGGCACAGAACTTGCCTCAACGGAGCTCGGCTTTTAAGAGGGGGGTAATGTCATGGGCCTGAGTGCACAGGAAGCAGGAAGACCTGCTAGTTCATATGAAGGGAGTGCAGGAATCAGGGGATCAGGCAGATCATAGGATTTGCAGCAGTATTTGCCAAGATCTGCAGTAGAATCGGCTCTATGACAGATCTCAGTGAGATCAGTACAAACAAGGATGATATCACAAATCCTGATGAGATCAGTAGTAGGAGAGGTCATATAGTAGATTCCATGGAGATCAGTGACAAGGATGTTCATATGATGAATTCACATGTGAAGAGGACCAAGCTCACAGGCGAGGAGGACCAAGCTCTGCCAAGATGGGGACCAAGCTCAGTAAATTGCAGCTGGTTACCACTCAGGGGTTCACAAGATAGGAGTCAAGAGAACAGTTGCTGGTTAAGAGGAAGGAGAACTGTGTCACAGACACCAGCATATAGTTCATGAGGAAGAAGAGCTGTGTCGAGGAGGTTGACATGCAGCTCAAGAGGGACAGGAGTAGGGTTACAGGGACTCCTGCATAGCACTTGACAAAGGAGGTACTCTCTGGAGAGAGAGTTGGAGCAGTGGTGCTGGTGGCACTGCGAAGAGGTATAAAGCCATACCTTCTCATCACTAAGTGGTTGAGTGGATCCTCATCCACTCTACTCACCAAACAAACTAGTATTACTTCAAGCAAATAAGTATCATTAGTTCACAGTCAGCATAGTAGTAATCAACAGATTGCTCCTCATCGAAGCGTGTGTGTTGTATCACTGTTTCCTGACATCCGAAGGTGGTTCATAGCAAACCAGCAGTCTGGATAACAATAGAACCAAAGGCAGATGTCCACTGTGGCCCAGGGATCACTTCAAGCGTTAGCTGACACACTGGACACTCGTGTTGGTGTCATCAATCCATACTCACACCAGACCATTGGTGTCAACATCAAGCTCACTTAGAGTCATATCATAGTTTTATTGTGCCGAGCTACCTCTGGATGGAGTGTCCACAGCAGTTAGTCGAAATCTGTCATAATGATAATACAACTACAGATTCCAATGAGAAAGGTGACAGAGAAGGCTCTGTCGCATATTTCACTAGGAATCGAAATACCATTAGTGCTGTCGCATAACTCAACAGAATCGGTGATAGTATCAATACTACCACAGATCTCAGGTTTCAGGTGCGCAACCGCTGACACATAGGAAGGAGAGGCACTCAGAGATAACCATAGTAGGTAGCGGGGAACCAAGCTCAGCATCACGTGGATGGTTACTGCTCGAGGGGTGCATGCGCATAGCCACACAGGCCCAAGCACAGGGAGCAACCGCATGATCAAGTGGTTGGTCAGTCACAAGGACCAATGGGTGGCTAAGGGGGTTCATGAGATAATGATGGGGAGGTGGCTGCCGGTGAAGAGGGAAGGGAGCAGAGAATGGATTGGCTAAAGCAACGAGGAGGAGTTGTGTCAAAGGGGTTGACACACATCATCAGGTGGGAAAGGAGTGTCATGGGCCTGGGTGCGCAGAGCGAGGAAAGACCGAAGTTCATATGAAGGTAGCGCAGGAATCGTGGAATCGGGTAGATCATAAGAGTTGCGGCAGAGTTCACCAAGATCGGCAGTAGAATCAGCTCTATGGCAGATCACAGCAAAATCGGCACAAGCATCGTCGATATCATGAATCCCACCAGAATCTACAACAAGCGAGACCTTGTGGCAGATTCCACAGAGATCGGTAGCAAGGTTGTCTGTATGACGATTCACATGCAAGAGGGACCGAGCTCAAGTGATATGTGGATGGTTACCACTCAGGGGTTAACAAGACAGGAGTAAAAGAGAACTGTTGCTGGTCAGAGAAAGGAGAGCTGTGTAAAGGACACTGGCAAAAGGGACATGAAGAGGAGGAGCAGTGTTGATGAAGTTGACACAGCTCAGGTAAGACAGGAGGGACAAGGTCTGATATGGAGGAGGTGCCTCCTTGGAGACACCTGTACAATACTTGACGAAGAGGGTACTCTCTGGAGAGAGAGAGCAGGAGCAGTGTCACTGGCAATGCTGCGAAGAGATATATAGGCATACCTTCTTGTCATGAATGGTCGAGTGGATCCATCCACTCTACACTCATCAAACAAACTAGTATTACTTCAAGCAATAAGTATCATTAGTTCACAGTCAGCATAGTAGTAATCAACAGATTGCTCCTCATCGAAGCATGTGTGTTGTATCACCGTTTCCTGACATCCGAAGGTGGTTCTAGCAAACCAGCAGTCCGGATATCGATAGAACCGAAGGCAGTTGTCCACTGTGGTCCGGGGATCACTTCAAGCGTTAGTCGACACACTGGACACTCATGTCGACATCATCTATCCATACTCACACCAGACCATTGGTGTCAACATCAAGTTCACTTAGAGTCATATCGTAGTTTGATCGTGCCGAGCTACCTCTGGATGGAGTGTCCACAGTGGTCAGTCGAAATCTGTCACAACATCAGTACAACTACAGATTCCAACAAGAAAAGCGGCAGAGACGGTTCTGTCGCATATTACACTAGGAATCGTAATACCACTAGCGCTGTCGCATAACTCGACAGAATCGGTGATAGTACTGATACTACTACTGATCCCAGGTTTCAGGCGCGCGACCGCTGACAAGGAG